GCCTCAGAAATTACTGATGTCAAACTGTCAATTCAAAGTGTTCATCGTACCCCTTGGATGGGAGACCTGCAGATGGGAAATGCTCCTGTCTGAATAGTGCTTGTAGGTAGGATTACTCAGAGAAACCAGACAGATCAAAACAAGAGCTCTGACTTTTATTTTGGTTAGGTTTTGACTAGAAGAGCTGTGGAACATTTCTACCTTTACCAGAAACACTTCAAAGAGAGTGTTATGGACAGACGGATCTGAGATCAGAGAGACAGGCAATATTAAATCTCAGAGGTGTTTCCACCAGGCTGATAGCATTATACAGGAGGAGGAGAAGGAGAATTGTCCAGATGTTATATTCTTGTATGACAATTCATACATAACTCATGCAGAGGAAAGCACATCTTTAATATTAAACAGCTACCTGCTGCAGCAGCAGGAATCCCAGTATGACAATAMGCATTCTCACCGAGATTACAGCGCTGAATGTTAATGCTGGGGCTCAGGAATGAAGCAGCAGGCTGTCACTTTGAAGTAAGTTGGTGGATGAATTTACTGCATGCTAGCTGTTTTCTCCTCATTATCAGTGAAAGTAGGCTGAGCYACCCTGCACTCAGAGTGTCTGTCTGCACTACAAAGCAAAGGAGAGCAGCAGAGCTCAAACTGTGGAGCTCTGAATGCCACACTCCTAACATGTACAATGAAGTGTTAACCTCATTATGATCATGAGGCAGAAGTGGATACATGTCAAAGACGTGTAGCAGAAGATTCCTTTTAGATTATTCATGATCTATTTACAGCTGTGCATTATCTTCTAAGATCCAAATTTAGGAGCTGGGAAAAAGTGCCCTACAGTACAGAGATCTAATTCTAATCTGGTATTTTTTATATATATTAGCAGTAACTTCATTTCAGATAATGTCAGTGTCTAACAGTATATCCAAACTGAGCACCAATTGTGACTATGCCTATATCCATTACAGAATTATTTTTATCAAGGCTGTCAAAACCCCCTGTGCAAAAATGCTGAATGTTCTCAGAGATAAAATGTTCATTCTTTGGCAAAAACCAAACCCTCTAAGTGATAAAACTCTGAAGTTGTGTAGAAACAAGGACACTGAAGCTGGTTTTGAATGTGTGTGATGGTTGTGGTATGATGAATTACATTGTTGGTCATTGATGTTCTTCAGCTACAAGCGTTGAAGCACCAAACTGCCAAGCTTTTCTTGACAGAAAAGTATCTTATTTAGGAATAAAGAAYGGTTACCTCTTTGAATAATTGTCATTGTTCACTGCTGGAAATTCAAAGGATTTTGAACTTTTGCCTCCTATTCTTCAGTATCTATTTGTAGAGAGATGCCATGCAAGAAAAAAGCAGTTCTCATTTCTATACCACACCTAAGGCATGAAGCAATGTCATTTATCACCTCCTTTTTGTGAAGTTTTCTGTGTTCTCTCCTTTGCACATTTGAAATTACTTGGCTGGATGTAAACTGATTCTTACCTCCCATCAGCCCAAGGCGGTGAATATCACAATGAATCCTGAGAAATGTCACCTGAACAATTTTAATTTTCACCACAAAGCCGCAGAGAAACAGAGACTCYAATCAGAGAATAATAAAAATTCTTTAATTTACACCAGGAAAAAACCCCACATCTAGAAATGGACCTTCCTATTCTGCTTCTTGTCTAGGAAACTGCCTTTTGCGAAAAGAATCCAGGCCCCTGGGGTTGATTTCTAGGATTTCTCTTTAGCGATAGAGAGATGGCAGCTGTTTTTGTAAGAAGGAAGGCAGACCTGAAAGGTATTTTCCTTTTGGCTACTATTGCTAGAAATCCCTGAAGAGCACTAGCTTGAGGCAGAGGCAAAAATGGAGMCCACAGAGGTGAGCTGCAGGGTAAACTGTCAGTTCTGAAATTGATAATCTGTGTCATGGTGACATGTATTATGTCAATTTTTCCAAGTGGATATATAAGTATTTCTGAAAAGATACAATTTAATTTGGAGTGGTTGGTGGAGATGAAAGACAGAGAAGGAAAATATTTTTTTCACTTCTTTGTCACTTTCTCARGAGCGACTCTTGTCTGATCTTGGTGTTTCTGTGCTCAAACATATATTCTTTCAAGAAACTCTCAAATAATTTCTGTTCACCAGAATGTTACTTTTACAAAATCGTGTGTACTTATGTCTAGATAATTCCTTATAAATACAGATTAAATGTTAAAGAAATGCTTCACTTTCAGTATGAAGTACAGGCTAAGACAGTGCAGGTGTAGGTCTTCAAAAAGGGTGTGAAGACAAAGGTGAGTATTGCATCCAAACCCTCTATACTTAATGGGAAAATAAAACACCTGTGCTATTCTACCTCAGTAATGATCTTCAAGCTGCAGCCTACATGAAAATGTAGATTTCTGTCACACTGTCTAATTTTCACTTTTTTTTCTTCATAGTTTATTATCCAGATAGCCAGGTTTTCCCTCTCATCTTGTCTGTGTCAGCCCTCAAAGCCTAAGTACATATAAATAACAGATTGAAGAACTTCCTTGAAACATTAACAATATCCTTCTATCATTTTTGTAAAATCCTGCATTTCTYCTGTGCTATTATTTTTGTACTAGCACAAAAATAAGATTTTTCATTTGTTGTCTATTTCAGCTTTATTTCACACCTCAAATCATAATCCATTTTACCTATGTAATAATTATATACTAAATGTCTTTACCTCTAGTTTTCCAAAAGGCTAAAATTACTTTATATCCATGCTTTCCAAGCCAGTGAACAAATGCATTTTATAAAAAGTATTTCAAGAAAGCAGACAGCAACTTAAAGAAGAAAAATTCTCCCTGATGTCAACTTCAGCATTTGTGTTGTTTGTGATGTGACCCTTCTGCTTTACAGAAAATATTGTGAAGGGTAAGTTACGAAGCAGCATTTTATCCATCAGCCATATGGTAACACCTAGAGCAGMGAGAGGTGTCACATTGGGGTAGATGTTGTACAAGGGATCATTTCTGACAGGGAGCAGATGAACTCTCCATCACAGCAAGCACAGCTGCGGCAGAAGCGCCTGCTCCCATGCAAATAACACTAATAAAATGGAAATAAGACAGAAGGAAGACCAGTTTCTTAGGAAGAACRTTCCAGAGTGCTCTTCAAAAAMCCATCTGTCTTTAAAAATAGGGCCTTGCATTCATTTTTGCTGATAAATAAGAATTGCATCGTATGGGAACAACAGAAGCTGAATGCAATTGAGGCCAGCRCAGCAGTGAAATGGGAGGCTGCTCCCAYATTGCCCATTTGGAGAATGTAATTGCATATGGACACAAATTGCAACTTGATCTATGTATCCAGGTCTTCTGTTGGTTCTAATCCCTCCAGACCACTAAAATATGCCTAGTCAGTCTGAGGTGACTGATAGAGGCTTTAAGGATACTGAATTCTGCATCTACTTTGCCCTTCAGACTGCTGCCCTCGGGTAACCCTGTTAACTGAGCTCTTCCCTCATCCAACACGACTCTGAAAGTTGCACAGAAAAGCTCATCAGCAGACGTGGTCAGCTGCCCAACAGTTTTACATCAGGAAATTCATCTCTTTGCAATGAAATTCAATTTTTCTTTGGTAGCAAGGATAAAAGGGGATTTTTTCTGTTGTTTGCTTGTTTGTTTCTTTACTACCGATATGTTCTTCTGCTTAATCAAATGCCCTCTTTGCAAAGATAGTAACAAGCAGAGAAGAAAATGCAAAAGAATCATATTCCCAAAGGRCTGATATAATCCTATGCTATTAAAAATATTGAGTCAGACCATCAGTTCCAGTCCAGCTGCCCAAATGAAGTGTGGTGAGGTGGGAATGCACCCAGTTTTCCAAGACTGCCAAAATCAGACTGCATCATCTTTTGTACTATTGACAGAACTGACTTGGAAAATACCAGAAAACAGTTCATGACTCTCCTGGTAGCCAGTCAATTTAAAGGCTTTTAATTTCCTATTTCACWGAAGTTCTACATGTTAAATTTTAAAAGCAAAACAAATAGAAAAATKTATCTGTAAAAGRTCCCATAAGCTGTGTGGTCAATTTCTTTACCACTTAAAAAGATGGTGCAAAGGGTTCACAGATTAATGCCTTAACTACTTAACAAAGAAAAGTTTGCATTTTCTGGGTTAAGTTCTCCACTGTGTTCAAGCAACCTCATCTCTGTACAAAGCATGTAGAGGAAATAATATTAATTCCTCTTTATCTCTGAAAAGGGGGAAAAAACCCTCCTTGCAAACTGTAGAGGTTGGGAAGAACTGAAGAATTGAATACTTGAAGCTGGTAATCCTGTAAATTAATGTAAGAAGCCAGTAGCAGAAAAATTAAACAATGGAATATGGGATGGCCTAAAAGTGAGGCCAAGGCAGTTGAAGGTGCATCTGTATTCCCCCTTGAGCTCATCTGGGGATCTGGCCAGGAAGTTGCTGCACTGGAAATAATTATGAGGCCCATAAAAGGGATAGAAAATGTCCAGATGAGCGTTGCTGCAGGTGTTGCAGACTCCAAAGGACCTCACAGGGGGGTGTTACTGTGAGAGGGTGGTGGTTTACTGGAGTGATGAGGGACAGTTTTGACACAAGAGCATGCACTGAAATAAGAAGGTTGTCCACATGGATAAAGACTATTTCAAGGCACAAAATAACTTCACAGTGAACGGTAATATTCACAATATTCACTCCAATATCTCCTTTTAGAAGCAGTGGTGTCAGTAATTTCCTTGTATGCCCACACTGGATGCTGAGAGAGTAATGAAACCTCACAAAGTTCCAAGCGTCTCTTTGCCCATACTTCCCCCCGCTACCCCACCCCTCTGCAGACAATTATTTATTTGTGCTCTCATCAGCTTCTGTGATGAGATGAACATGAGCCCTCCTTCAGATGCAACTCCAGTAGCCCCTCTTTTTGATCAAGAGTGAYGTGTCCAGCAAGCATCCTGCTACACACGCTTCATCATCCCAGTTATAGAATGAAATCTTACCTATAACTTTTCCTAGGAACAGTGCCTTTGGGGAGTTGAACTGAATGTCAGACGTGGCTGGAAGGCTGTAACTTGTTGGTGGATAGTGATCAAGCTGGAGAAAGAGAGAAGAAATGATGAGTGTTTTGAACTGATGCACTTCTTACCGGTCTGTTGAATCAGGTCTACTCCGTGGAGTTTGTGCCATCACTTAGAACTGTCTAATACAGCCTACTTTCCTTTTCGTAAAGGGAAAACAAAAGTAAATACCCTTTTTTCCACATCTGCCATCTCCACATTTCCCGAGGCCTTGAGAATACCTATATTGAATATATTTTTTCTTCTGATTGTTGTAGAATCACATCAGGTTTTGCTTATGTGCTTCAATTTCTAAATATAACAACAGCATCAATAATAAAGCAACTTATTATTTCCATAGAAATAGATTTACATTTGGGACCTATGTTACTGCTAAGCTAAATTTACATGACCTGCATACATGCAGTTCATGCTTATTACTTTCTTGTTGAGAATGTTGYTCAATTTGATTGAAAAAGCTACTGAAAGCTAATTGAATTCAAGAGTAATCAACTTAGCTAAATAGTTCAATCTATAGAAAATGCATACTGTCCCCGATATGACACAGCAATCATGTTACATTAGCATATTTCCCCGTTTTTAGCTATTTAACAGAAAAAATGTGAAGAAAGAGAGCAATAAAATGAAATGCCTATGCTTAGTAATAGTGCTATTAGCACAGTTTAATATAGCTCGATMGAGTTTTGATRTTCACATTTCATAAAGGTAATTGGSATGAATTTTTATCTTTGCTGTTATTTATTTTCTCAGCTTTACATGTTTATTACAGGCTTTAAGAAGGCAGAACAGCAATAGTTTATTTTATTCTGGCCTTGCCTTGGCACAAAACAGGAYGGAAACTCATATACGTGATTTAAGACTTTGCAGGGTGGAATAGACTGCAGAAGTAATTCTCAAGAAATGGCAGCTCTACAGGGCATGCAATATTTTCACATATCTTTTTGCCATATTTCTAATTTCAAAATGTTATTATTGAGGATTACTTTGTTTTAATGATACTACAAATCTCAGTTCAGTGTTTAAAAGTAAATGAATGGCAGGTAGCATAGAACTGAAGGGCTGAATCCCCTGATAATCTGGAATACTGTGAGCTCAGGCCCTTGTAAAGACTACTGGTATCATGAATCTGCAGAAGCAACCATCCCAAAAATCARTAATAACTGGAGGAGTCCTGTCTTTCTTATAATTCCCCATAAAACCCCAAGAAGAGAAGTGTGTATACATAACAGASAGAGAGAAAAAAGTCTCCTCAGATTACAAAAAAAGGTCTAGCAAGTTTTAGTGTTCAGAAATTATTTTTAATTTATATAACTGTCATTCACAGCAATTATTTTGAGATAAATACATGGAAAAACATAGTTCCATCTTTATGCTCAGAAGATAAGAAGTCACAGTCTATTCAAAGTATATTGAACAGTTTTTCTCAGATTTTTAATAAAAAGTAGAAATACACATTCTACCTAAAATTAGACATATAAATTCAACTGGAAAAGAGTTATTTTTGAAAGGATGTAGTCAAATAAGTGTATAAAGGGTTAAAATACAAAACAAATCTCAGCCTCAACCACCTCAGGCCCTATTAGGAACAGACTCCACTTAAGTGSTTGCTATTGGTTTTCCTGATGGAAGGGAAATGTTCCAGCATTCAACATTGCAAGTGCCAGACCCATTTTCAATGAGAACTGCAGGCACATCAGGTGAAAACAAAATTCTCTTTATCAGAGGACAAATAAAAATAGCTCAGATCCCTCATGGTATTTAATGGTAATAACCCTTGTGGCTGTTAAATGAAAGGTGTAAATTTTAGAGAGGTGTATTGGGAAAAGATTGGTGGAAACTAATGCACAAAACACTGATTCTCCAGCCTCTCAAAAGGTTAATCATCTCATGTACCTTCTTTGCCTGCAGTGGAATTATTTCCAATAAATACAAAGAATTAATGTTCTAGGTTGTTCTCTTATGACTTWAAATATGCTGAAATAACTCTGATAAATTAGCCTGGCATCCTACCGCATACACTGGTAAGTATCATCAACAATTAGATTCCTTCTTTTTCAAGATCAATCTGGAACACTTTAAAATATATTTTTTTATTGTGATCTGGAATCTGAGCACTGGTGCTGATCAGATCATCATTAATCAGATAAAATATGAAAAAACTAAAATAATTATCAATCTGTGATTTAACTTATCGATGTATGGTGGATGTCCTAAAGCAGTAGCCATGTGTCCATCCTTGGAGTAACAAGTAATYAGCAACACGAAATAAAATAAACCATCCTTGCCTAATGTATAGACTGCCTCTACTTGGGTACCTGCAGGACATGGATCAAAATGAAAAGTCAATTTAAACGATGAACTGCTGTGAACGTTTACATGCACAATTACAGAATATCAAATTCTGCCTGCTGTGGTATGATAAGACTCCCTTTGTCTTAAGGTAATGTTTAGGATGGGGAAATGCCCTCTCTTTTGCCATGTTGGAGCAGGTTAGTTAGCAGTAACCTTGGCCAGATTTAAAATAAAAACAACCAGAAGTCCTTTCAGTGACCTTGCCTTCCCTTGGGAATTCCGCATAGCCGGGCATTCCCTCTGGTACAGAGGCAAAAGGGATTGCAATAAATGAAACTGATGATGTGTTACATTGCRGGCTCTCACAGGAACAGACACTTTACTGCTCAGGTTTGCTCGTTTAAAAAGAGCTCTCGCACGGAATAAAAGCCTGAATCCATCACTCACATGTATTTTTCACATCTTGTTGAGGTCAAGGACAGATATTCCAATGGGTTCAGCTGTGGATTGTTTTCGGGGTTTACTGACTGTTTAAAGTTTTGTGTCGTTTTGATTCCTAGTTAAAATAAATCTCAATTTAAAAGCTGCTGATACCAATTTTCTGGGGCAAGCTTTTCTGATCAGGGATAGAGCCAGCTCCTGCTCCACTGCCAGCTCTGGTATCTCTTATCAGGGGACACCTGCATTGTTTTCCACAGCTTTGAGCGATGCCTTTCTCTGATCCCGGCACCTGGAAATGGTGCACCACACGACAGTGGGTCTAGGGAATAGCAGGTGAGGGAATACGAAGATTTCTGTCCGCTTGCTTTTATAGCACGTCTTTTAAAAGAAATCTKTTTTTAGAGACTTTCAACCTAGGGTTTCTTCACAGAGCGGTGAGTTAAAGCTCTATGCTGAATTATTTCCAAAATTGTGTGTGACTGCCATCCAGTGGGTGCTCCCGTGTAAGCAGCTGGAACGGAGCAGCCTGCAGTCTCTGCATGAAATACTAGCCCATCAATCTAATAGAAGGCACGTAATAAAAAAGGAATTACTAGTGTCAAATGGTATTTGAAAAAAGTTATTACATTATTTAACGAAAATTAAATAGAACCTCTGTATACACCAATGCTGATGTCACGATTTTGTATTAAATTACAGTTCTAAAATCATATTTAAGATTTTTCATTACAGCTACTTTTCTTTTAAAACTCAGTAATTTCATTTGAGCTTCATATAAACAGACAGTGTGGCTTTGAGTGTCATACAGATGAAAGTAGGTGTCAGTTTATGAGGAACTTGCAGTTTTAGTTCTCAAGTCACGTCACGCCAGGGCAGACTGCCTTTTTCTGAAGTTGTTTGGATTTAWGCAGAAGTTTAATAAAATGTTCTTTCTTTCATATTATTGTTCACTTAGATTACAAAACTAATCTTGATGAGAGTTCTGAGATTAATAGAGATATCAATCTAAGGGCAAACATAATGACTACATCACTTTAGTAATCTTGGGGGGAAAAAAAAGGTGTAAACACAAATGCATAACTTATATTGACCCTGTGTATATATTTACATCTGAATGATTGTCAACCCAGCCTATGTACTGCTATAGAGTTAAGGTTTTTCTTTATGTTGGAGACATTTTATTAAAAAAACCTGTCGAAGTCAGATGGAATAATAATACTGTAGGTCTTAATTACACACCATCTGATGTCAATACAGCTCTGCTATTGACTTCAGTTGTAGCAGGATAAAGAAGGGGGYATTATCATCATGATCAATGTAGTATTTCTGTTCTGATTGTTATGATGGTTTATAACTTCTGTTACAAGCTTCTCTAGTCCTGAAAAAGAGCTTTTTGTGCTAAGTTCTATGACAAAACATAACAAAAAATGTTCCTACTCAAAAATGCCTGMAAAGTTAGGACAGAGTAGGTATGAGACTCCGAGAAAATAAAAAGGTGRTATGCAGGTGTTTAGATGGAGCTCCTTACAAGCATGATAGCAGTGTATGAGAAAACAGAATGGGAGAAATCAAATGGACGATATAATTATTTTCTTTTTATTGGTGAAATATAGATAATTATTCACCTGCTGAAAGGTTAGGAAAATATTTTCAAGCAATATTTTTAATGCTGTGATATTTTATTTTTTTTTCTTGTACAGCAGAAAAGGAGCAGATTGGAGTGGTAATTGTGTAATTCCTCAGGCTGATCATGGTCACTSTTACTGCGATCCAGCTCCTTCCTTAGTGTGGCACTATTGCTCCGCTGATCTGTTCCTGCCGGGTCAGATCCTTGGCCAGGTTAGAGCAGATCAGMTCAGAGCCAGAGCAGGGACAAGGCAGGGACAGTAAATGAAGAATGGATCCAGAGGAACAGGCAGGACCATAAACCTGGCATTTTTTACTACCTTAGACTGCCACAGACCTGCAGCCTCACTGCTCGTCTGGAACACAGGAGGAGGCACACRCCTCATCAGAACGATGTAAGGCAAACTAAAGGTTTGCATTGTGTTTGAGCTCTGCAGATGGATTTTCTATAGAGGTATGGTAAATATTATTTTAGGAACCACTCCTAAAAAATCTCTTTTGCTGGTGAAATGCACTGATTACCCTTTAGCAGGTCTTTTTTTAGAAACAAATGTCAACCACAATATTTTATGATAAAGTCTCTTTGTTACAGGGATTTCTATTAAAAATGTGATTAATGTGTGATACAGACACAAAAAAATACAGTTACATTGCAAG